ATACATACATACATGGAGAAGTTTGAAACTAGAACCCTATCTTTCACCCTGTACAAAAATAAAATTCCCAGTAGATCAAAGACCTCTAGTATAAGACCTAATATTTTAAAATTACTAGAAGAAACCATAGGAGAAACATTTGAAGCCATAAACATAGGCAAAGATTTTCTGATTAGGACTCTACTAGCACTAGAAATAATAGCAAGAATCAACAAATAGGATTACATCAAATTAAAAAGTTTCTGCACAGCCATAGAAACAACTGACCAAATGGAGAAATAGCCTACAGAATGGGAGAAAATCTTTGCCAGTTACTATTCCAAAAGGATTAATGTTTAGAATGTATAAAGAATTCCAAAATGTACACCAAAAAAAAAATAGCCCAATGAATCTATGGGCAAATGAATTAAACAGACATTTCTCAAAAGAAGTACAAGTAGCCAGGAAGTATATGAAAAAATGTTCTATGTCTTTTGCATTGGGGAAATGTAGATCAAAACTCCACTAGCTGGCCGTGGTGCAACATGCCTATAATCCCAGCACTCTGGAGGCTGAGGCAGGAGGATCGCTGCAAGTTCGAGACCAGTCTGGGCTTCATAGTGAGTTACAGGTTAGTCTCAACTACATAGTGAGACCCTGTCTCAAAAAAACCAAAAAACAAAAAACTCCACTGAAAATCTGCCCTACCTTACTCAGAATAGCCATCACCAAAAAGCAAAAACAAAAAAAAGTATTATTAAGAATGTGGAGAGAAAGGAATACTTCTACACTGCTGGAAGTAATGTAAATTAACACAGTGGTCATAGAAATCAGTATAGAAGTTTCTCAAAAAACTAAAAATAGAGTTACCTTTGAGCTGGCTATACCAGTCCTTGGTATATAACCAAAGGTATTGCAGTCAGCACTTTATAGGGATACCTGTACCTGCATACCTATATTTATTGTGGCACAGTTCACAGTAGCCAAGATATGCAACCATCCTAAGTGCCCATCAACAGATGAATGGATAAAGAAAACGTGGTATATATGCACATAAATGAAGTATTACTCAGCCATAAAAAAGAGCAAAAATTTGTCATTTGCAGGAAAATGGACGAAACTGGATGTCACCATGTTAAGCAAGATAATCCAGAGTCAGAAAGACAAGTATCACATGTTCTCCCCACTATTTGAAATCTAAAAAATGACAGTGAAACGAAATTAGAAGGGAGGATATTATTATATAAGAGGGAGAGAATAAAAGGGTAAGGATTCGCAAGGACCTGAGTTCGATCCCCGGTACCAAAAACAAAACAAAACAATAAAAGGGTGAGGATTTAAGAGAAGAATGGTGGATGGGTATGATCAGAATATATGCATTGAAGCCCAGTATTCTGTTAATTTAATAGGCACTACTAAAAATTGAATTACAAAAGAAAAAAATATTTCCTAAGGATACATAGTATGTAGGTGATAAATCCAGTGTTCCATGCTAGGTGTGACACTAAAGCTTTGTTTGTTTGTTTGTTTGTTTGTTTTTTGAGACAGGGTCTCACTATGTAGTTGAGACTGACCAGGAACTCACTATGTACTCACAGCGATCCTCCTGCCTCAGCCTCCCAAGTGCTGGGATTGCAGGCGCGCACCACCATGCCTGGCATCTAAAGCTTTTGATCCCTATATTGTCCAATCCTACTTCTTTGGAACGTCAGCTCCTTTTGACCACAGTCCATTTCTTCATCTCTATAGAACCCCAAACCTAGCTCGGAAGAGATTTCCATGATTGCAGAGCAGCTGTCCATGGAGAAGGAGGTAGTGAGGGTCTGGTTCTGCAACCGACGCCAAAAGGAGAAGCGAATCAACTGCCCTGTGGCCACACCTGTCAAATCGCCCATCTACAACTCCCGCCTGGTGAGTGGCCAGGAACCAAGCTGCCTGCCAAGGCCAGGGAGGGGAACATGAGGCCTGGAGGAGGACAGAGTCTCTTCCATCCTAGGAAGGTGGAGAGTAGGGTTTGCAGAACATTAATGACCAAATGTATTTATTTATTTATTTTTAAAATTTATTTTATTTATTTTAGTTTTTTGAGACAGGGTCCCACTATGTAATTGAGACTGACCTGGAACTCACCATGTAGCCCAGGCTGGTCTTGAACTCACAGCAATCCTCCTGCCTCAGCCTCCCAAGGGCTGGGATTGCAAGAGTGCTCCACCATGCCTGGCAACCAAATGTATTTATATTCACATTTATATGGACAAACGAATAAATATGGTGTACTAAAAATACAGCAATAAAATTATATTACAGTAAGAGACACGTCACTAATCCCCTCAAAATACCTCTCTTGCTTTGAACCCATTTAGCCCATTATTCTTGCCACTTTGTGAAGCAGTTCTGAAGTCCTCTTTCACATTTTTATGAGGTGTGATAAAAAATACAGTGAATGCTGCTGTGGGTAGCAGCCAATGGAAAGGCATACTTGCAAAAACATTACAGTGTGCCCTTATCCACCTTATTCACCAGATCTGGCACCATACACCTTGTGGCTCTTCCCCAAGTCAAAATGACTGGAAAAGTAAATGTTTTCAATCAGTTCAGGACATCAAGGCAGCCAGGACAGTGCAACTAAAGATACTCAAGAAAGAGGACTTCCAGAACTGCTTCAGAAAGTAACAAGAATGAGAAGTATGTTCAAAGTGAGGGGGATTATTTTGAGGGGAATAATGCTGTAATAAATACTGTAATGAAAATTTAATTTAAATATTCACATGGCATAATATCAAGCAGACAAAAAGGTAAGGGAACAGAAAGTGATAGAAGGAGATGCCTTTTTAACAAGGTCAGAGAGAAAAAAAATAAATCAATTAACAAGGGGATCAAATGAGAACCAAGACCTGTCATGTAAAGGTACAAGGTCCCAATAATGAATGTAACTGTACTGTACACCTAAAATGTACCAATAAACTCAATAAAAAGAAAAAAAAAAGTCAGAGAGGACTTCTGTGATAGGTGGCATTTGAGCAAGGGTCTAAGAGTTCTAAAGGTCCCTGTAGATATCTAGGGCAGAGAGTGTTTCAGGCAGAGGGACTAGTAAGTGAAAAGACCCAGCGTTTTTGGGAACAGTAAGGAAGCCAGTATGGCTGAGGCAGAGTCACAGTTGGATTCTGGATGTACTTCATCTATGGAGCCAGGAAGATATACTGAGAGCTTATCTACAGAATATGAGGCATGAAGCAGAGACTCCTTCAAAATTGGGAACTGGTCAGCTAGTTGGAAGGCACCGCCAAGATTTTGAGATGCAGGAAGAACTTGGTGAAGGTCATATTAAGTCAGACATGCCTATTAGGCACCCAAGAGGAGGTGCCAAGTAAGGAGTTAAATCAGGTGTGGTGTCTGTGCCAATGAACTCAGCTACTCAAGAAGTTCAGGTAGGAGGATCACAAATTCAAGGGCAGCCTGGGTGACTTAGGGAGACCCTGTCTCAAAATAGAATGAAAAAGGCGGGGAGTGTAGCTGAGTGGTAAAGTGCTTGTCTAGCATGTGCATGGCCCTGCGTTCAGCCCCTGGTACAGGGTTGGGGAAAGTAGAGAGCTAAGTCTATGATTCTTACGTTCAAGGGAAAGCCAGGAAACAGAATAATTTGGAGTTTCAGGCAGAAGTGGAAGCTTAGAGAATAGGAAATATATACTCCATCCAGGGAGAGGTGGCACCTTCAGGGTAGGAGTGGGAAGGTTCTCCATCTGTGTGAACAGTGATGGTTGAAGGGTAGGGAGTCAGTGTGATGAGGTCCTCAAGTATTAAAGTGTTCTGAATGGTTGAAATTCAGTCTTGTCTGGGTAGGACAGAGCAATTTCATAATGGCCTCTTTTTTTTCACCAGACATCTATTGACTGTCTACTGTACATTGGTCTTTCTGCTGAGTGCTGGAATACAAAGATAAAAACCATTTGTTCTCTGTCCCAGGGGACTCAGTGCCTAGCAGAGGAGACAAACAAATGATAAACAATGTGATCATTTCTCCAGCAGAACTTACCAGCCGCTAATAAACCTTGGCAGGTGGTAGTTAGGAAGACTTCCCCAAGGAGGTCATTAATTCCTGAGCTGATTCTAAAAGGACAAGAAGTGAGAGGTAAATGACTTTGAGGTAGAGCTTTCTCCAGGGAGAACAAGTGGCACATTCGTGGAACTGCACTTGGCTCCAAATGGAGGAATGTTGCAAGGACATATTCCTCAGGGGGTAAGACAGTGAAGGGAGGGTGTGCAGAGACAAGGAAGTGAAGTTTGGAGGGAGTCACTGCAGGATTTGAAGCAGGAAAGTGGCATGCTCAGATTTGTTTTTAAGACTGATCACTCTGAATAAAGGATATAGGTTAGCCTGAGAGGCACAAGATAGGATATAACAGCAGTTATTCAGTAGAGAACTAAAAAGGACAAAGAAAACCAATGTGGTAAGAAAGTGGGAGTGAGAGAAGGTCATGGTTAATACATTGAAAGTTGGCTGTGGGCAGGGAGAGTGACGAAGGAGGAGAATCCTTTAAGAGACTGAGTGCTTGAGTGTGGCTGATTGGGCCAGTGCTAGTGCCAGGTTTGGAACAGGCAAAAGGGAGGAGCTGGTTTGAGAGTGGTAAAGAGTGATGGTGTCAGTTCTGTACCCCATGGTAATAATGTACAGTAAGAACTGTAGCACACCTGAGCAGGGCTGTCCCTGGACACTAGGAAGATGGGCCTGGAGGTCAGGAGAGAAGCTGGGGTGGAGACATGCACTAGGAAGTCACAGACACACAGGTGATGCTTGAAATCCTATGTGAAGAGGAGCTTACCAGTGGAGTTTGTATGGAAGGTAGACACCAAAGCCCTGGGGAGCAGCAGCAGTTGAGGGTGGCAAAAGGAAGAGGATCAAGGGAAGAAACTGAAGGAAAAGCCAGAAAAAGCAAGAAACCATCACCAAGTGGATGTGAAGGGTGTTGGGCAGGGGTGAGCCCTATCAGAGTGTGATGAGAACACAGATAAAAGACACTCAAAGGAGAATGGGTCAAGGAGGGTGACCCTCTAATTTGTTTAAAGAACAGATTAGAAATTATCAAGAATAGCTCACCAGGACTGGGGATTTAGCTCAGTGGTTCTGCTCCCTGCCTCTCAAGCACAAGGACTGGAGTTCGATCCCTAGTACCAAAAAAACAAAACAAAACAAAATGTTTGGGCCAGGGATTTAGCTCAGTGGTTCTGCCTCCTGCCTTGCAAGCACAAGGGCCTGAGTTCGATCTCCGATACCAAAACAAACAAACAAAAGAATAGCTCACCAGGCAGAAGGACTAGCCCATGAAAAGGCGTGCAATTATACAACTTGATGCCTTTGGAAAACACATGCACTTCATGCACTTCAGTCTGACTGGAGCCAAGGGTCTGAGATAGGTTGATGTGGGCTGGGCCATGATGGGCCATGGATGTTAAATTACCCTAAAAGCCATAAAGAACCACTTAACATTCTCAATTGGAGGCAACATGATAGTCATTCATCAATGCTTTCCCAAATATTCACTATGCTTGATACTGGGAACACAGTGACATACAACACACAGGCGATCCTTGCTTACAACCTAGCAAGGAAAATAGACACTGATTAAATGCTACTTGTGGTGAGCTTCGGAGAAGCTGTGGTGGTATCTGAGGCATCGAACCCAATCCACTGTGTCACAGGCTTCTGTGAGGAATGATGTTTAAACCGACCCCAGAAAAATGAATGTCACCACTGACACAAATGTGGGAAGTAATTGAGTTGGGGGTGCAGGTGGGAGCAAGTTCTAGGCAGAGGAAACTATGTACACAGGTTCTAAGCCTGGTAGGGATAGAGAGAAGGGGAAGCTTACAGGCAGGGATGGGTGGAGGCTAGGGAGTAAAAGAGTGTGAGGAAAGAGGCTGCTGTGCTAGGTAAGGCTAGATTTAAGGGTATTGCAGGCCCTATTAAGGAATTCAGTCCATGTTATAAGAACTTCAGAGTCTTTAAAGATGGATTTTTGGGTATGCTTGTAATCCCAGCTACTTGGGAGGCTGAGGGAGGGGGATGGCAAGTTTGATGCTGGCCTGGACAAAGTCTCAAAGTGAAAAAAAAAAACAAAGGCCTGGGGATATAGCTCAGTGAGACCACCCTACTTGGCCCCATTCTGATTTGAGTATCTCTCATCTGTGTTCTCATGACACTCTGATAGGCTCATCCCTATCCAGCACCCTTCCCATCTACCTGGTGACAGTTTCTTGCTTTCTCTGGCTTTCCCTTTGGTAGGAGACAGTTCTAGCAGTGGTTCACTTCCCACCAGGGAAACTAACATACACAGAAATAATGAAATCGCCTCATTCATTATCAGCATTCATTCAACACCTGTTTCCTGAACATGTGCAAATTTCCATACACTGGAAGTCACTGGGAATACAGCGGTGTACAGGCCTTATCCTGCCCTCATGAAGTCTACAGCCATATGGTGGAGAAAAACATTAAATAGTTATACTAACACTTACAACGTCATGAAGGAAAAGGTTAGAAAAAATTTTCTCACCCTATCTCTTCCTTAGAACTCAATGAGACAAGGACATGGTTTTATTTTGCTTCTGATATGAAATGATCTCATAGACACATAGTTTTTTTTACTTATTATTCTTGGTTTTTTGAGACAGGGTGTCAGTATGTAGCCCAGGTTAGTCTTATGATCATCCTACCTAAGCCTCCCAAGTGCTAGGATTATAGGCATGAGCCACCATGCCTTGCTTATTCTATTAATTTAGAAAAAGAGAGAAAAAAAAAAGCAGAATGGAACAGACCAGTATGGGAACCATTTTGCTAGTTATTATAAAAAAATAAAACACAAGGAACTATATACATGTGTCTTTGCATATGTGTACCCTTTCTTCAGAAGGCAATGGAAGAAGCTGATCACAGTGACTACATGCATTTTTATTTATTTGAAAACAACAACAAATTTCTTGGGTGTGGCAGCAGGGTGGGGAGGAAAACAGGGAGGGAGAATGAGGATAACATCTCTTACCACTCTGCCACCCCTCCCAAACTGCCCCACACTGGTCTCCACCTTCCATGGGGCCCAGCCTACTGAGGAGGCGCATTGTAAAAGGAAAGGTAAATGAAAGCAGTGAGAACATTTGCTGATTAATTAGGAAATGAGAACATGTTGCATCCTGTTAGGATGGGACATTCCATACTGAGAAGGGGAGGAATCATCACATTACAGGTACCTGTCAACATCCTTTGAAAACACAAAGCTTTCAGGGAGGCTCAGAGCTTCTCTGTCAGCAAGAGAAGGGAGGGGAGTGAAGCACGCTGGTTCCAGCTCCAGTGCAGAATTGAATAGCATCTGGAGAGATATAGCCATGGTAGCTTTTTCCTTCAGGAAGGAAGAAGACTAGTATTTAACAAGCTGGTGTTCTTTGCTAGTCATAGGCTTAGAAGCTTTATGGACATCAGCTCATTAAATTTTAATTAAAAGAAAATATCAGGGAGGTGTTGCTGCTGTTTTACAGATGAGAAATAAAGTTTCATTGGGGTTGGGTAACTCACCTGAAGTCATGCAGATAGTGAATGGTGGGGCCAGGTCTCCAACCTGTCTGTCTTTTCTTTCTTTCTTTCTTTTCTTTGTGTGTGTGTGTGTGTGTGTGTGTGTGGTACTGGGGGTTGAACCAGGGCCATTGCACTGAGCTATATACCCAGACCTTTTTATTTATTTATTTTTTTGAGAGTGAGTCCCGCTAATTCACTATGTTGCCCAGGTTGGGTTCAAATTTATGATCCTCCTGCCTCATTTTCCCAAAGTGCTGAGATTACAGGTATATGCCACCATGACCGACATGTCCATTCATTTTATTATGTCTTGTTCTGGGATGTTGTTCTAGGATAGCAATAGAGAGGAGGAGTTTCCTGAGCTACTTGGAGGATTAAGCTCAATTGCTTTTAGTCTCTTTCTTTTTCTTATATTAGTGCATGTTACTGGTGTATAATGACTACGCTCATCATGTGGAGTTGGTATTAACTCCCTTTCTAATCTCAGAGTTGATGTTGCTATGAGGTTTCCAGAACAAAATTATAAACTCCAGAGACCAACATTCAGCTATTCCAGTTATCTCTGGAGAGTCTGCAATCCATTCATCCACCAGGGTGGGCAGGCCTGAAGCAGGGTTGCGAGGGTTGACACTGTGTTGCCCTGAGCACAGGCAGGGCTCTTTCACAAGGGGAAAAATGGGGACTGGAAATGAGGCGGGCAGCTGGCAGCATCTGCCACAGTAGGGCCCCAGAGGCTGGCTTCTCTCACCACCAGAGCACTTGGGCAAGGTAATCTGCAGCTTGAGAGTGCCAAAGAAACCTTGCAGGGTGGACAGCAGGGGAAGGTAGGTGTGGTGTGAGCACCTAGGAGCTTCTGGAGCAGACCAGAACTAGAGGTAGATGGCCATGCATGACACAGGGCCTTCCTATGAAAAGGAGGATGGAGTGCTGTATAGGATTTAGAAATAGGAAATCATCAAGAAAAGCCTGTTCTCTGCAGTCTGGGGTCCACTGTCTTGGGAAATGGACCCACAGTTGGAGAGGGAAATGGGAATGGACATTTACAAGCCTCTCTTTCCTTTTAGGTCTCTCCCTCAGGGTCTCTGGGCCCTCTCTCTGTCCCTCCTGTCCACAGCACCATGCCTGGAACAGGTAAGTTTTTAAATTAGGTTTCTTGATGGCACCAGGATTTCTTTAAATAACATGATATTAGAACTGAAAGGGATCCACTTAAACCAGCATTCCCTAAATGTATTGCAAAGGACATTAAAATTTATGCTGGGAAAAACAGGGTTGTATATTCAAATAAGTTTGGAAAATGCTGGGCAAGCAAAATTTAAACATATGTATGTTTATGTGTTGCTTTGTTTTAATTGCAGCACTTCCCAGCATTCACGTGCATAACACATTCTAAAATGAGCTGTACAGAAGTGGAAAGAAGGCACAGTTTACAAAGCTAATTTTCTACAGGACTCTCTTTTCCAAACAGTGCCTTATAGCATTTCAAAGAATTAGGTAGGGTGACTTATGACCAGGTGTGCCCAGGACAGCCCCAGTGGCTGCCTCATGTCCTAACATAGTTACCCATATGCACGCTTCCATTTATTAAAAGTGTTTTCATTTAGACAGTAAAATATATGTCAGTCTAACCAGGGAACATAGTTTCAGAAATGCAAACACAAGAATTCTAGTTAGTCCCAGTCTTCCATTTTATAGAGGACAGAAATGAGTTTCAGGGAAGTGCAATAAGTCAGCACAGGCCATAGTGCTGTGGAGCAAGTGGCATGGAACCAAGATGACATTCCGGTCCCCTCATTCCTGGTTCTGTGCTCTCTCAAGACTGTGTGGAGTCCATTTCCTGTATGAAGATGGAAGAACTAGAGAGGCAAGGGTACTTAAACTCCCAGGTTCTCTTTCTGTCCTGTGCACTTTTTTCTTTCCTGCTCTCTTTTCCTAAGCTTCTTATTCTTCTTCTATTCCTGCCTCCTGGTCTGGAACTGCATGTGCCCAGCCCAGGGTGTGTCCTGGAGTGGAGTGATTCTGGCATCCGTCCTTGTATTTGGCAAGTCTTGGACTTGCAGAACCAGCCACACTGCTATCAAGGGCCTGGGCTGCAGAGCACATTTTGATGACAGCCTTTCCAGGGGCAGGCTGGTGTGTGGACCCTGATGCTAATGTTGTACATGGTGGACGGATGGGTGGGGAAGAGGGTGAGGTCCATCTGGGGATATATAGAAAATCAACTGTTAGAAGGTGCACATCATAAGGTCCCAGGACCCAGCAGAATTATTTCCCCCTTTGTGTTTACCTCTCCTTGTCCTCAGTAACGTCATCCTGTTCCCCTGGAAACAACAGCAGGCCTTCATCTCCTGGCTCAGGACTCCACACCAGCAGCCCCACTGCATCTCAAAATAACTCTAAAGCAGCAATGAACTCCTCCTCCAGTTTTAACTCCTCAGGGTAAGATGGGGATGGAGAGGGCAGAGGCAGCCAACAGGGAGGGCCCAGGGACATGTGAGGAGCTGAGCCAGTGCCTTAGAGCAGAGACCTTATTATGGAGCTGGAAGAGGGGAACAGGGTGGCAAGGAGAGGACAGAGTGGAGAGCCAGACTGGACTGTATCCGTGGGAGGTAGAAGCTGCAGCCAGTAAGCAGTCCTGGCAAGGGCTGATGTCAACAAAGCCAAAATTTCCATCCTCACTTTGATGATGGAAATTTCCAAATATTACTGTCAGAAAAGCCCAGGTCCTTTGCTGGACTTAGGAGTGTTCCATCCCATGCCAGGAATCTATTTCTCAGGATGTTCTGATGTGAGTCTAGAGCTCAGGCGCAAGTAAACTCCTGGGCTTCAGGAGTGACTGACCCAGTGAGGGAAGAAAATGTTAACAATTCCTGTCTCCTACTCCTACCTGGGATCCTGAGGGAAGGAGCTTCCTGGGCCTTAACTCATGAGCCAAAGAATCTACCCTAGAAAGTATTCTCAGAGCAGATGCCCTTAGAGTCTGCTCTGGTTCAGAAGAAACACAGAAATTTGAGAGCTGGGTGACAGGTCCTGACCTGAGTTTGTAGGAAGAGACAGACCCACTTGTCCAAATCCAGGCAGTTTGGCAAGGCAACTAGCTTTTGTTACCCATTCAAGGCACAGCCCAAAGAATTAAAACTCTTTGCCAGTCCCCAGCAGAGAGAGAAAGGGAAAGAAAACTAAATATTAGTAGCTTTCTAGGTGTAATTCATATATCATAAAATTCACCATTCAGTAGTTTTTAGTATGTTTATAAGATTGTACAAACATCACCATTATCTAATTCTAATTTTTATCACCCCAGAAAGAATCCCTCTACTTGTTATCCATCCCTCCCTATTCCCCTTTTTTCCTGTAGTGCTAGTAACTGTAATTGACCTGTTTCTTCCTTCTAGATCTTGGTACCGATGGAATCATCCCACCTACCTCCACTGAGACCAAAATGTTCCTCCCACTACACCTGGCCTCATATCCCTCAATGAAAGGAAGGAAGAAGGGAGTTGTGCCTTTCATATATGGACATTACTTTCAGAAGAGTGGAAGAAAAGCCCTACTATGAGCAAACCTACATTCTTGCCTTCTTCAGGAACAAGGGCCTCTGGAGAGCCAAACTGTGATTGAACCATGTGCTGATAT